TGAATATAGGATATACAGACGTGCGTGAGCCAGTGGATCCATCCAAGCGGATGTCAAACCGATCGTCTGGAGAAATCGGTCTACCAGAGATTTCACATCCGGATATCAGAGTCATCCGACTTTGATTCTTTTCCTCTGCTCACTTTTTTATTTTCTTTTTACTACTGATGCAGTAAAAAATTACTTAGAACCATTTGCTAATGGTATTTCTGTAAAGGACTTATTCTAGATGAACAATCAGAGTACTTAGATTCTTATTTTCTGTCATTAGATTATTGTAATAACGTATCGTTATTATTTTGATTAACATGACGTATTGATCACAATAGAGATATCTTTTTATTATTAGTTTCTTTTTTTAATGAATATTGAAACTGTCTCAAGTTTATATTGATTATTTCAAATCATCACAGTTTCTCAGATCATTTCCTTTAACATAATACTCTTTATTTTTATCACCACTAACAATATTGAATATTTATACAATTTGTAAATTTACATCCAATATTAAAGAGAAAATTACTTTCACCTTTTTAATTGTTAAATTATATATTTTTAAACATGTTCCAAGATATTTATATTCATATTTAAATTTTTCTGGACATTGAATTCTTTTTTATTTCACTTCTTCCATCAATGTTAGTGTCAATAAATAAGTTCATTAAATAATAGATGAGAATAATGAAATAAATTCTAGGAAACAGTTGTTTACTACCAACTCCTAATGTATGTGTTAATTATTGGATTTTCACCTATCAACAACATCAGTGGCGACTCTCCATGATGAAGAAGCTGTTGTGGGTGTCCATGATTACGCACGGGCTGGGTGCTACGTGTATGGGGACACGATTTGTACGTGCTTGGTGAGTAATAGGGATGGTTAGGCCTCGGCGAGAGGCTTCCGCGTGGATTCCGGCCCCGAAGAAGCGTAGTCAAAGGCAGGAGGTGGTGAATACCTTCCTCCTATATCCAACACTCACATCAGCTGCACGAGAGGAAAGCTACTGAAGCGATCGATGTAATTATTTATATTCAAATCACGAATGAGGTGCGGGCACGTAACATCTTCTCTTCTTGGGACTATACTCTATAGAAGCTTCAACACGTCTCTTGTCGTTAGTTTCAGCGCACTCCTTTACTCTGTGTGCAGGTTATCGGCACATTTATTGGGAACCCGACCCGTGAAATACCTCTGCGTTCTTGATTCCCCAAACGATTTCTTCATCGTCGACACCTCGAAGATCTGTGTCACGACTAATCGTTTGCCAAATGACTATTTTATTCAATTATTTACTATTTTTTTCCAGTTTGATGTTAGGACACTGCATGAACACACATTGTATTCTCAAAAATATCTAGTAATAGTGATTGAGAATATATCAACAATAAATAATTATTGAAAGAAAAATTTCGTTAATCTTTTACAATCTCCTTGAAATGATATTCTAGCATAATTGATGATTAATTTAAATTCTAGATTTTTTTAAATTAGAATGGAAATAAAATATTTATTCTGATGAAAATAATTTTTAGTTAATAAATAATGTAAAAAATATTTCAAAATTGTACAAAAGTAGATTTTGAGTTAAAAAAAATAAATCATTGTCTTAGAGGATGAATCTGTTTTATAAATGCTACAGGCATCGTTTGTTGGTGGCCAAACTTGGACTTGGATTTCCAAGATGATCCGTTGGCCAACCACGAACATCCCGGCAACCAATATGCGAACGTGACAGAGACGATATTCTTATGTATACTTATAAGGTTGGGCGGATTTAACTGATAATCGCCAATATGCGATTCAGAGACACACAATGGAACTCGTCTGAGACATTGTTTGAAAAAGATGGGCAGACTATAAATTTTATATTCTAATAATAAACTTATAACAATTTATAAGCAAATATTCAACAATAATTATAAGATCTTAACAATAAACCATATAAAGAATTGATTAAACGTCATTGGATAATGATTAATTAATTGCTTGGACATAATATCTACTATTATCTTAATGACCATAACATATGAGACTTCATTTTTGATGAAATAGTTGGAAAATTGCAGTAATTGTAAAATGATTAAAATTCGATGAATGCCTACATTTTTTTCTTTCTCTAAGAGAAACGATTTCGTAATCTCAACTCTTATGGCGCCGTTATCGAAGCGCGATGGACGTTTTCTCCTATTATTTGCAGACAGACATTGACTATAAATCCGATAAAATTTTGTATTCCGTTAGTTTCTTTTTTTACGCGTAAAAATCGAACGTTCATATATTTTATAAACGAGAACTTTAAATGTTTGCTACAACCATCTGTATACACACATCCGAGCCCACATGATATTTGGGATAAATTTACTGAATATCAACATAATACCTATCGAACTCATTATTACATAAAAATAATTACTTTATAAGTAATATTAAAAATAAAATATTCTGTTTGCATATATAAATATTTATATCAAAAAATTAGGTTTTAAAATTTTTATTTAATATATATATATATTGATATATATATTTATCAATATTATGATGTATGTTCGTGAGTAATATTTAAATTATTTTATGAGCTCATTCATCTTTTTTCTACTATACTCAAAAAGATTAATGAAAAAATAAGTTTTTACATTATTTTTTGATAAGATATAATTATTATTCATAAGATATTATTCTTATCAATTTTTTATTTAATTGTAGCTTGTAATATTGTTATTCTAAAGTAAATGTTTTTCTACAAGCATAGAATAATATAGATGTAATCATGGTACTTTGTCGTAGAAGACTATCGGAATCTGATGCAGATATGGAGAGAGGAATTTAGTATTTGATTTCTTTAGAATGCGTCGCACGACCTGCGACGAAATCTTGGATTCTATTAACGGAGAAATTATAACGGATTGACGGACCGAGACACGAGAGTTGTTGGCCAGAGAAGGATTTCTCTTGAATCGTAAATACCGATCTGGCTCGACGCACCGACTCAACCCACCTCTCGGTCTCTTACCCCTCGTAATACTCGCGTTGTGAATGTTTAAGTACTTCCCGGTGCAAGTGCAACTGCATTTACTGATATATACACGTTATACATACATATATGTGTATACTTATATTTTATACTAACATATAAAAACTAGTAAATGCACGTGTATGCTAACAGTCGTGTACACGTGCGAGAATAGCACTGATAAATTCGCATTTGGACCCGCATGTTCTTATTTTACGATAGTTTAATGGCTTTGGTAATCATTTTGAGTTCTAAAAACAACTGGTGAACATATCGTTTTTTTTTCTTTAAGGAAAGTATGAAAATTAAACTCACCATTTCTCATCAAGTTAAAATGTTTGTCAGGACATTAGATAAGTTTGAACTCACCAACTAAATGCATTGCGACATCTACGTAAAATATTTGTAGAACTTTCTTTCGAGAGTACGATCGATGATGTAGCTGCAGTCGGTTGGTTAACACTAAAATATATACATGAATTAATTACTTTAATAATAAATGAGAAAAATATTAAAAATTGTTAATCAACAGGATCATTAAAACAAATTTTAATGTAATGGCTTTAATATAAATTTTTCCGTAAATTCTAATAACATGTTTATTGTTTTTCTTCATGTTAATATGTAGTTTGATAAATGAATGAGTAAATTTGTTGTACTCACCAATAAACTTAAGGTGGATCAAAAAATATAGTAATTTTTATGGTCTTATTCGATATACATAATTTTTCGTAGTATTTTAAATACTTCTGCAAGAAAATAATAATATATCATGTAATAATAAATTAATATAACAATAGATTTGAATTATATTACTTACTATCGAAATCAGCGGGTTTTTTTTATAATGCTGATGTAACTCCATTTTTTTTAATTTGTTATCTAACCTTTATCACGATTACAACTACGGACCTATTGATTACGAGCCAATATTATTGCGATATAATTTATTCTCGCAATCATTTTCTTTTAAGAACTTTTTATTATGTATTTTATTAAGACATATCACAATACTTTCAAATATATTTGCAATTAACATTATTGTTAGTGTCAACTTTAATGGTTACGTTCTATGTAAACTTATTTCATATTTATACAAAAAATAATAGTTTTTAAATAATAATAATCTCTACGATTATTAATAAATGTATAAGAATTTCATTGCATTCGCATTTATAACGTAATCGTAACAAAACATCATGTTTTCGAATTAAAATGGCTACGTAAACACAACCGCGTGCCGAGTCACACGTGTTCATTGCTCCCTCTATCGCTCAACAAGTAGTAACTTAATCACACATAACAAAACCTCAAACAAATAAAATATCGAAAAAACAAACATTTACTCAAATTTGTACGAATTTAAAATCTAATAACTATTTAAAAAATTGAAAAAAAAATTTTTTGATGGAAAATATAAGTAGAAGCTTCAAAAATTATTTTCATTTCATAAAAATAATTTTCAACTTTTCTATTTACCGATTGTTGATAAATTTTCAACTGTCGGAAAACGACATATTTTTTCGAGTGAAAAAATATTTCTAAACAATTTATACAAAAGTAATATTATTATTGAATAATAATCAATTTTCTTTAAATTGCAATAAACTTGTGAGAAAATCCTTGATTTTTATTTAATATTTTTCTATCGAATAAAAGCAACATTCATATGTAGTTGGAACGCAGCCATGTTGCTTGACACGAGTTCCGAAATTCAAAAAATTAACAATTTCAATAAAAACTATTTAATTTTTCACTATATATTTAAATAATAATAGCAAGGTATTTAATTCTTAAATTATTCATTAGGGAAAATATTCTTTTCTTTTGCATGAACTTTTTGGAATTAGAAATTCAATAATCTAGACTATTCCTTCCATACTAGGGACATTTAGTAACCGTAAAGTCGTAGAAACATGCACCATCTAAGGTTGGTAAGATTTTGTGAGTTTATGACTCACACTATAGAGTAACCCCACCCATTTTCACTCGTGACAAACACAACTTTTACTTCCGGCTCACAGTTCGGACTACATTCAAGATTTTTCACGTTTACCAGTATTTAACTTGTGGTGATTGTGTTCTCCTACATATTCCAAAAAAACAACTCTTTTTCATTGCACTTTGCAGTTGTATATCTTTGAAGGATATATTTTGTTTGTCGTATGTCCATCCAGAATCTTAATACATTTGGTGAGTGTTCAACTTTATTCATAACGAAAATTTTCCTTCTCATTCTAGAATATAGTCTTGTCAAAATGGCGGCCTGTAGCGTCTTTGCTTGCATCATAGTACGCAATGATGGCCAACTAATATACTAATAGATTTTTAATAATTTATTAAAAACTTTATATGAAATTTATTCTTACCAAGTTTTTTTTTATAACTAAATCATAAACCATTCTAATATTTTAATAATTCCCTTCTCTGTAGACCCCTTTGCGGATGCAATCAAGGGTTCCGATGATGATGTTCAAGACGGACTTGTCCACATAAGAATCCAACAACGAAATGGTCGTAAGACCTTAACAACTGTACAAGGACTCTCTTCGGAATATGACCTGAAAAAAATTGTTCGAGCATGTAAAAAGGTAAAAATTATGTCCCCAAAAAAGTAAACACGATAAGAAAAAAAAAAAATTCTTTCAAAACCGTAAAAATATGTAATTGACTTTCATGACCTGTCACTTTTCGCGCTTACTATAAATAGCTTCCTGCGTCAACCTTTTGTGAATATAAAAGTTTACGTCAAGATTTTTATTATTTCTAAAAAATTAAATATCATCTCAAAATATATTTCATATCCATTAGATTTTTCAAGTCAATATTTTATTAACGTAGAGATGAAAAATCTATTTCTCATTTAGTATTTGAAATTTTCGAAATTCTGTACATAGAAAAATCAACAACGTTTGAAAAACGTTTGATAGAGAATTTAATTATTCATTTAGAAAAAAGGAAAAATCAAAAATGGATTTTTCATTCGTAACAGTTATACTTAGATTTGGCCTTGTCCTACATTAAGTGTCTGTTCATTCTATCACAATGAATGAGACTCTATTGTATTCAGAAATGACCCTGTCATCCATGTATCCTTTAGTCTTAATTAACTCTGTCAATGTTCAATTAAAAATCTATTTAAATGAAATTTCTATTTATTATTTAGAGTAAATGATTGTTACGCTCGATGTAATCACTTTGAGTAATTGACTTTCTTTCAAAATTAATTAACAATGAACTGGAATTTTTAACATAGACTTCAATCTTTTAAAATAATAATAATGTCCTAAATATATAATTTATACACCGATTTAAAAAATTACAATTTAATTGATTTTGTTTAAAAAGATATCAATTTAAAAATGTTGAGTATAATTATAAATTTCATTTATCCAGATAACTAAAGATGAAATAATTTACATGCATAGTAACTACTCTTAACCGTTGGACTTTGTATTTATATATAATAAGGTGAAGAAGCCAGTTATCAAGAAGACATTAATTAATAACATATTCTTCTGTGACTATAAACACTTTTTTGTTAGTAAAAAAACTTGTTTCAGAGTATTTATTTATAAGATTTTACTTTTAAACTTCTGCTTATCTCTAATTAATTCATTACTTGCTTTTTTAATAAAATTTCTTTTTAAATTTAGAAAGTGAATATCTTATGAGTACAAGTTAGTTATTTTTAAAAATCTAAAAAATAGACAATAATTTTGATGAATTTTTGTAGTAAATGTTAGGATGAATATTAATTTTGATGAATTTTTCAGGAATTCGCATGCAATGGGACTGTAATAGATCACTCAGAGTATGGGGAGGTGCTCCAGCTTCAGGGAGATCAACGAGAAAATATTTGCCAGTGGCTAACGAAAGCAGGTCTGGCAAAACCTGAGCAACTAAAAGTCCATGGTTTTTAAAAACAAAAAGAAAAAAAAGTCAACAAGCCAACCCATATGTCACTACTACTTATGACAACTTCACTTTCATCAACACCTTATCATCTTAAATTATCTGTATCAATCACTAATACTTGTTGATACTTGGTGGGATAAAAACAAAAATCCAATTATAATACGCATAAATATAATAAATATAAATATAAATATATATAAATATATTTCAATAAAGAATTAAAATAAAAAACGTGAATGAAAAAAAACTAATACGAACAGAATATCATTATAGGAAAAGTAATATTCTAATCAGACGTTTTGTAATATTATAGGAAGCAATATTCTACAGCCTTATGTTATATAATCCGCGAAACATTGTCACATTTAAATTAATAGTTATATTAGATGAATTTTTGAGATAATTATACAAGCGGTAGATACAGGTAGAAACGGATGGATTTAATTTATGGTGTTAGATAGTATGTATCTGGGCGCCATTGATGTGTTCAGAGAGACTGGTGTTTAAATAAACAAATATAACTAAAAATTTGAAAAATAATACACAAAAAAATGACGAAAAAATATTTTCTAGCTTAAGTAATCGGCTTTAATTAATTTTTGATTTGTTTTTGTGATTAAACGGACACATTTTTCACTATCGTAAACAATAGTTATACGTTAAAAAGACAAGACTTCCGTTAAATTGTTTTTTCAATTTTCATCAACTTTTTGTGCCTTTGATTTTACATTGTATTATTTATTATTCAAATATTAACGATTTGATGTAAGCTTTATTGTTTAATAGCTCATCAATTTTATTTGCTTGCAAAAGCAGTATTGTCATTATTGTTTTTCAATAAAGAAGTATGAATTTCAAATAATATTTAAAAAATGTGGATCTTAGATAAATAAATTACAATTTGCTAGATTAAATTCATTTTTCGTTATTTGGTAAATCCCACAAGAATCCAATTGTTGATGCATTTTTATTTTTTGTGTTAAAAAAAAATGAATAAAGAACTGAATAATAACGTTACAATACTTTTATCAACTATTTAATTAATCATAACTCATAGCAAACTTCTAATTAACATTTTTAAACTGTAGAGAATTATAATTAACTAAATAGACCAAATAGATATTCCTAAATGTATTCTATGCATTTATACGTAATGATGGAATGAATTACGTAACATCTCAGACGATTTATGTTAAATTTTATGCACGGGTCAACGGAATGACTCAAATGTTACTATAATGTTCATTATTGCTATTAAATTTCATAATAAATTTTTCTAAAATTTTCCTAATAAACTTTTTAACTAATATTTTTATTTCATTGTACTGTAATTGTATTTCGTTTCATAGTTGATTCATTAAGAAAGTAATTTTTCTCTAAGAGGCTTTTGATAATTGCAGATCATTAAAATAGAATTTTTCTCATTCCTTTGTCAGAATATTAAAAACGATTTATAGAATAGATGTGATTTAGGAGTCATTAAATAACAATCAAGTGAAAAGAGTATTGTTAAGCTTTCCTGTCTGAAGAGATAAGGAGAACAGCATAACATATGTGTATAGTGAAGTATTTGTTGAGTCTAAAGTTTCCAGTGAGATAAGAGAGGACCAATTGCAGTGGTACAAATATATAATCAACGAGAAATGCAATAATCCACATGAATATTCAGTTACAATATCAGTAGTATAATGCTCAGTTATATGCACAATGAGTCATGACTAATTCAATAAAAGCATTTGATTGGCAAATGAAAAAGAAATGTATGGAATTCAGATTAAATTATACATTTCATTTTTATTCATTAATTTGTTTAGAGGGAGTATTAGATAGAAATCAGCCATTTAAATTTTCGCGCAAAAATAGAGAACTATTTTAATAAATATATTGAAAGAGTTGTGATATTTTATAAATTAAAAACATATTTTCAACAGATTTTTCATTTATTTCAATTTTGAATATTTTCATCAATTACTTATAAAGATATTAGCTACCGAATAAGAGAATGCTATATAATGTATTATTTTTTTAATTAATAAATAATAATTTCAACCACTCTAAAATGAAAAGAGAAAATTTTATTTCTTTAGTTAATTAATAGTAAAGTTCAATTGACCATTCGAGTAATCAATTCAAATTTTGACTATTATTTTTTGGTTTTTGAAAATTATCATATTAAGTGGATGATAAGATATCGTTAAAAAAAAGGTTTGGGTTTTGTAGTTATGATTAATGGTTTGAATATAAATATAACTTACACATAAAATTAGTCTATGTAAGTACTGAAGCATGATTTATCTCTTGAGGGTTAAAGATATTGATAGAATATCGTACATAGAAAGGGAAAAGATAAAAGTAGTTAAAATGAAAGAAACAGTTAATGTAAGAAAGGGAATGAAAGATGAACACAATTCTCGATAAGTTTGTAAGCGCTAGTTTTACAGATGGAATGGCCGCGATTGGACGAGAAAATGTGGCAGCAGAGGGACGCACATCCGGTAGGTGGGTATTTTTAATAGTGGCAGGAGTGACGGAAACTATAGAGTTCACTAGTTATCGAACATGGAATAACAGATGGCATGACATTCGGGTTACACAGCTACAACCCAGAATGCATTTCACCTCGGCATGTGCCTTTCTGTGTCGGCCATTTTGTAGTTTCCTTGAGAAATTGTGTTGAGTTGATTCTTCTTCTCGGTAAGAATTTAACGAAATTATAAAACGTCGACTTGCGTATTAATGCGGTTAGTGTAGGGGAATAGGTGTACGTGAAAATGACTAACGATTAAATAAAGGGAGAAGAGAAAAAAAGGGTGCGTTTAGGTGGAAGATTACAGCCGTGGTGCGTGGGGAATCCTCGCAGCACGGGTCGACAATCCCTTCTGAGAATGAGGCAGTAAACGAATAAATACGTCTGTGGACTTGGTGCAACAACGACTTTGATAAAGAACGCATGGGATACAGAAGCGTTACGAAATGAATGGTGATTTCGGTAACGACATTCCATACGCATAGTGTTACTTCCGGAGTGGTTGTCACCTTTGCCTTGCGTGCGTGATCATTACTACTAGAGCCCGGCCAACGTCTCACTCTATATTTGGCCAGTCGCATCCAACATATTGCATATCTTGTCCTTTCAAAATTATCACTTTTCACGTTGTCGCTGATGCGTATAGTCTGCAACGAGGGTATTTAACAATATTATCCAGTGTGAACGTTCGAATCTTCAGTGCACAAGTGATTGCGCGACGACGAATCTATTTTACGGCATGTGGCAATGTTCCATCATTTTATGCATCCACATCTCTCTTCATCACTTTTCGTTTTGCCTTTTTTCACATCACCGAACTCTTGCCAACGCTACTTAAAAAACCTGCTAGTATTTTTTTAATCATTAATTACTATTATTATTATCATTTCCTTATCAACTTTCAAAACTTTAATCATTAACATATTTCTGCCAATCATTGCTCTCACATTCTCTTCATCATCCAAATTTTTTCATTATTATACTCTCTTGGATGATATAATCTGAATAAACATCAAATCTCATCATCAATATTTTGTTATCGCTTATAAATTTCATTTTCTTTATTTTTCAAATTATTGTTTTGTATGTTAATCCATTTTTACGACATATTTCTTGTTCATTAAATCAGCCAATGGTTTAAAATGTCTAAATAGTAATAGCATGATGCAATTTGTCTTAAAAAAAAATTCATCGTATCTATATATGTTGCAGGAAAGTGAGAGTTAGATTGTGATCTATTACAAATCTATTTCATACAATTTTTTATTTATTGCTATTATTCTTCATAATTTCATTTTCAATTTAATGAGAGAGGACAAAAGGTCATTTTTCAAGGTTATTCTTTATAATTATTTTTCTAAATAATTCATTTATATTTTTCTGTATTAACTAATAACGTACTAATATTCACTAATGTTCATCTGTTATCTAAGAACTTCTAGGATTAATCCAGAATTTGTTTATCAACAAATCATCAAATATTCATATTCACTTTTCTGCACATAAAAAATTATTCATTACATATTTTTTTCCAAAATCTTTATAATCTTGTTTTTTATTTCATTTCTAAGAATACATTGTGCTATCATTACAGTTAGAAATCGTTTCTATATCATAGATAAGCTGATAAATTATAGTCTGTGCACTCTAACTAATTACTAATTGTTGGCATCAGAGTATTGGTAAAAAAACACGATTTCATTTTTCATATAAAATTATTCTGTTAATGTTACTTGTAGTTGATAATAATTATTATCATCTTGAAGTATACATTTTCAACTTTTATTTCATTCTTATTTATTGCTCGATGCCTTTTCTCTGAATCATTTATTTTTAAAGCGTAAGCTTTGTGCTCACCTTGAATGTTCATAACTCGTACAAATCATTATAAAATCTTTTGTATTGTTTGAAATTGCCAAAAAGTGTTTATTTACAAATACAACATAACCACTTCATAATTATTAGTGACTATGGATACAGTGATAGTTTGAAATTAATCTTGAATTTAGAGGTTAACTTTGACAAAATCAAAATGTTGGCTTTTAACAGATAAATACATTTTTGGCAATATTAAATTACTGATAAAGTTTTTCTTTAATACAATCAAACGACCCATAATAAAATTCTTAAAAGCCATTTAAATAATTTTGACGGTAATTGTTATTGTGTGAATGAATGTGTACGTAGTAAAGCTATCAAATCCAATAGCATTAGATGAATAAAAAACTAACCCTGATTAATTTTCAGATTAGTAAATAATAGTTAATTAATACGTTTTTTTGTTAAAAATTTTCATGAAAATTTGTCCTAACAATTTTTTGAATTTTTAGGGTACGTGTACATGAATGGGGACATTGGGAAGCTCCCTCCAGGGGCGGTTTACCCAGCCACCCCTGAACCTATGGGTTCAGTTGGGGGTACAGTTGTCACAACTGCCTCCAGTTTAGACTATAGTGTCATGAACGGAGGACCAACGCCAGGCGAGCTGATGATTGACCCAAGCATGGGTGCTATAGAGCCTTCTGCCCAGCATTCAATGGGATTAGGTGGTGCTGTTAGCGTTGGATACGCACCTGTTGAAGTTGCTCCTTTAACTGATGTCCAAGTGCCACCAACTTCAATGGCAGACTTGCCTAACTCCGGCATTCCTTTAGAACAACTAAAGCAGATGCTCTCTTCGCAGCTTGAATATTATTTTTCCAGGTATTTTTTCTAAATTTATTTTTCTAGGAGCTTCTTTTACATTTTTTCCACTGTTATTTACATAATCGTATAATGGTGATAATTTACTAGAATGACTCATTGATTGTTAAAATACTTTTGTTTACAGAGAAAATTTAGCCAATGATACATATTTATTATCACAAATGGATAATGATCAATATGTACCCATATGGACGGTAGCGAACTTTAATCAAGTAAAGAAATTAACAAAAGATATAAAGTTAATAACTGAAGTCTTGAGAGAGTCGCCAAATGTTCAAGTAGACGAAGAAGGACAAAAAGTTCGACCAAATCATAAACGATGTATAGTTATTCTACGGGAGATTCCAGACAGTACGCCTCTGGAAGAAGTCAAAGTGAGTTTTTCTTTAATTAATATTTTTTAATTTAGCATTAAAGTAGCAAGTCTGAAAAAATTTATTATGTTCATTACGCAAAATTCAGTCACTTCATTTTTTATTTGAGTAGTTTCATGTTCAAACAAATGTTAGTGTAGATTTTTAATGTTGGTATAAATAAATTCATTAATTTATATAATCATATTTGACATACTTTAAATAAAACTTTTAACATTATTCAATAAAATAATAAATTTGCTAGCAAATTATAATGATACAATTGTAAACATTGGGAATGTTAGCTTTGCATGAAAAATCAAATGAATGACTTATAGCATTCATTGATCACAGGAAAACATTATTTTTAACTTGAAAATATTTTTTTATGCTGCATAGTTATTTTTATTTTTGAAACTGAGTGAATAATTAAATATAGAATTTATTCTCAGGAGAAGGATGTCCACGGCTTATTTCGTGTGAGTTTGCTCACAATAGTTCCTGGTACGTAACTTTCGAATCAGATGAAGATGCTCAGAAGGCCTATAGGTTTCTGCGAGAAGAAGTTAGAGAATTTCAGGTATGTACGATAATTATTTAACATTATCAAAAGTAAAATTACAATGTTATAGTTTATTTTTCTACTATAAAGTTCAGATGGAGAAAGAATGAAAAAAGTTGACCTCTGAACTTAGAAGCTTGAGTTAAGCGATACTTCATTGCATAACTAACGCAATCATTGACGTTATCTGTTTGAAACATTTTTATTGCTCATAAATATACAAAAAAATTTTTTATTGAATGCAGGGAAAGCCAATAATGGCTCGTATAAAAGCTAAACCAATGAACAGGCTACCGATTCCTTCGGTGGCTGGAGTCGGTGGAATCAAAAACGGGTACCGAACTCCACCACCTCCACCAGTTTTTGATCCAAGTAGTTATCCACCTGGTCAACAACGTTTCTTATACACTAATGGTACCACGATGCCGCCACAAACTACTATACCGCCATATCCTAATCAAGTCCACCTTTACGTAAGTCAAAAAACTTTTTTTTTTTGTTTAAATATTTATTTTTTATAACGACTAAACAAAATAATTGTAAGCACTATTTATTAATTTTTATGACTCCAAGATACAAACGACTTCAAGTTTTGTATATCACTAAATTTATATTAATTTTTGATGGCTCAATCAATTAAATTATCATAAAATGTAATGTCTAATTTTGAATATTTTCGATTGATTTTACAATTGATTGATTTGATATATTATACGACATTCCAGGTCAGTTATTGACTTGGAAACATTTTTTAAAAATCAACGATAAGTTAAGAGTCTGATATGGAATTAAAAACCAATTAAATATAGTAAAATAATTTTTATCTATGTAATTAATAGAAATTCGTCTTCTTTTTATTAATAGCATCAACCATTTTATCCTGCTTCAATGATGCACTGGGGTCCTGCAAGTCCGGCTTACTTTGACATGGCTACCGGTGTATTCACAATGAATGGAATTACTCCGCACAATTCATTTAAACCACACACAAGGTTTACTCCAAGAAGTAATAGGTAATTTACTCATTTATCAATAACGTGAAAATGTAAATATGATTACTTGAATATCAACTTAATCCAAGAAAAATGGTTGATGTGTGAGATTAAATGCAGAAACAATTTCTTCATTATAGTTTCAAATTGTTTTATTCAACATTCTGACAAATTGAATGACTCCACAGAAAATAATTTTTTTTTCTCTTTCAGAAATAAACATAGAAATGTATCGGATAGAAATAGTGGGCCAATGGACAGTGGTGGTGGTAATAGTGGTGGAATGGTACATATGGGTCGAGTGAATCATCCACCAAAGAGTGGAGGTGGCGGTGGTGGTTCAGGAGGTGTTGGTAGTGGTGGTGGAGGATCAAATTCAGTACCAATGGTAGCAGTGTTTACAACAAATCATCCGACGTCAAAACCAACGTCATCCTCTTATCAAGTTGGTGGCACAAAGTTTCACTCTTCACATGCGGCTTCAGCATCGGGAGAGACGCAATATGCGAGTAGTCACGTTGCCAAGGTTACGCCGGAGAATGAAACGCAGAATACGGATGCTCCAGGTGTCCAATATCCTCGTCATCGCATTCACCGCAGAACCAAAGATCAAGATGGAATGATGTCAAAGACGAATAATAGTGCATTGCCGTCGATCCGTGAAAGTGGTGCTGGTGGTAGTGGATCTTCCACGTCGGCATCAAGCAACAGCAACAATTCACAGCATTACAACCGAAATGTAGTTCAATTCGACTTGGAGGCATCGGCATTTCCACCTCTTCCAGGCTTAGATGCCGATCCAACCAAGTCTCACAACGTCACGACGGAGCCTGGTACGACTGTTGACAGTCTTCAATCCCAAAATAGGCTATCAGACGTTGTCAAAGGTACCGCCAAGATGAAAGGCACAAAGGAGAAAGAAACAATGTCCAGCAGCAACCAGCAGATCATCAATAGTAGCAGATCTACCAGTCCTGGATCCAGTGCTAGTGGTCAAGCAGCGATAGATAATATCTCTGCTACTATTGGCAATACTAGCTCATCGGTTTCTTCGAATGCTGCTGTTACTGCTGGTGCTGTTAGCTCCAATACCTCTGTTTCAACAGACATCACGCTCAGCACCGTCACCCTCACTCCTCCGTCATCTCCGGATAAGTGAGTGTGTTTTATTATTATAAATATTAGATATTTACGTTTTAAAATATACATATTTATAATTCTCGTTTCTTTTTCACTATTTCAAGTAAAAATTTTGCGTTTCCTTTCGTATTGGATTTTTTTTTCGGTCATTTTACGGTAATTTACACATTTTTTTCTTTAAACACATATGCATTAGCACAATTTGTGTTTGTGCCTTGCAAATATTCATTAAAATGAGAAAAATTAAACAAAAATTATGGCAACAAGAAACTGTTAGCTACTATTATTTTGATCAAAAATAATTCTTGTATACGAGCGCACGTTTCGAGACCTGCAGAATGCTAAATTGTTTTTAATTTTTGTTGGCTGTTGTTTGCTATGTACCCTTTTACTATCATCATATTTCTTCTTTGATGAATGACTTTTGCTGTATAATCGATTGGAAATGATCATTCATCACCATAGAGTTTAATTGAACTATAAAAAAAATTATAACTATTCATTATCAACATTTATTTTTAAGTTAAATGTAAAAAGTAATTGAATAATATTTACATTAAATACTATTTCTTAAAATTATCAAACTATTACTATTGGACATTCGTTTAATGTCATTCAGAATTTTCTTCCGTGCTACGACAAAAATTTATGACCGTAGTTAACTTCTTCGAATCTATCGCTCGATTAGGTGCATTTTATTATTATTAAAAAAAAAAAAACGAATTAAAATAATTAACAAAAAAACGAGCAAACATATTTTAACTACAATCTTTGACGTTTATATACTTTTTTCGGCTTCCCTCTTGTTGACTAAAGAATATTTGACTTCCATTACGGTTATTAATGTTTATTCTTTGTCAAGAATTAAGAAAAATTAGACAAAAAAAAATTTTTTCAATTTTACATTTTTTTTTTTTTTCATAAAAATATAGTGTGGTTTATTTTAAAAATTTTGTTTTCATACATTTCGTGAATAAACATATTCTTATTTGGATTTAAATAAAAAAAAGCAAAAAAAAAAAAACAAAAAAATTACAAAATTGTACTCATAATTAAAAATCGTAAAAAAAAAGATTTTTATTTACTTGGGTGCACTCATTCGTTAATGTGATTTGCCATTTATTTTTAAAAATAAATAAGTCGTGATTATTAACTATCCTCTCTAATAATAATTAACAATAGAACATGAATAAACAAACTAAAAAATGTCTCGTCAAAAAATTTTACTTTATTGAATAAAAATAAAAAATCAAAAATAAATTACTAGTGAGTGTTGAAAAATTAGATCAAAAATATTTTAGTTGTAAAACTAATTTTATTATTATCATTATTATTTTTATTTAATTAGCAATCAAAAAATTTATTCTTTAATTTTTTTTTCTTATTTCCCTCTTCAGCGTTTGCTAATATCATACAATTTGTATAAAATCGGGAAATGTTGTGAAAAAAAATTAAGAGAAATCTAATAAGAAAAATTAAAATTAATTAGGCATTAATTTCATTTAATAACAAGATTAAAAATGAACGTGTTCGAGGCATTTATGTTTGTTTCTGGTATTGTATAGAGAAAAAATAACCCATTAAAGCTATTGTTCTTCATTATGACGCATTATGTCAATATGTATGTATGCGCGAATGTATGCAGTACTATGTGGTAGACATAATGAAGAAAGTAATATAACTTTATAGTTTATATCTATTGAAAAAAAAAGAAAAAAGTTCGTTGGCTATTATGCCACGAAAATAAACAATACATGGGGACTAATATAATATTCAGGGTTCTTTAATGTTATTATAATTATGATTATAATTACTCTTATTATTATTATTTTATTATTATTATTATTATTATTATTAATAATTACAATTATTACTATTATTATTTTTAATATTAACATTATTATATTATTATATTATAGATATAAATAATAATTGTTCGGTTTCAAATTAGTTTTAAAGGCATCTGAATTAAAGTTTTAGTTTTAATATATGAAACAAAAAAAAATTAATAAAATGTAATTTTCAACACGTAAAAAAATATATTGAAAAAACACGCATGGTTCATTATTATTTGGTAATGAGTACAGAATCATTGTCTATGAAAGTTAATAAATGTGTATACTGGTTTGTTAATCCGAGTGTTGCAACAACCTTTGCAAGACCTATTTTCCTTATTTAATTTTTGTTTTATTACCAATTAGCTGTTTAATCAACTAAAAAAATTATGAATTTTTTTTTCTTCTTTTTTGGTTTATCTTTCATAATCTTATAATTATTTTTTCCACCTATAGTTTATTTTGCTCCAATTATTTGCATGAAGTTTTTTATGCGCGTAATATTCATTGATGGAATAATGAAACGTATTTTTTTTTCTTTTTGGTTTTTCCGTATTTTTCTCCAACATTAATTATAAGTTAAGTATTATTATATGATAATTATTCGCGGCTCAGGTTTTAGTCCTTTATTATTGAAAAATGCACCGCTGACAGATCTATAAAGACTGATGACTCGAACATGGTGAATGGTGTGGACGAGGCCATAAGAGCAAATACGCATGCTGCAGAAAAGTCTGAACCAGTAACGAGGTGCGGTTGTGACATCCCTACTGTCCTACAGAATCCTCAGTCACAAACTGGAGTGGCCTCGGCCTTTCCCTTAGTAAGTAATATCAATATCTCGCTTTACTTTTATTTGATTGCAATTAATTATTCAACCCATATATTGGTTTAATAATTTCATCATTTATTTTTATTTATCTGTTTATTTATTTATTTATTCATCATTATTATTTACATCCTCGGCAACTGCACAAATTCATCACCATTATAATATAACTTCCTAATTCGAAATGATCTGTAGCCCCATTGTATTGTTAAGATCGTGGCTGAATTTTTATTTAATTATATCAATTATTTCAATACTATTATAGTGACATTTAGATCAAGATTAGACAATGAATATCTGTAATATAGTACAGCATGATTTTTTTACTTTTATTATAGCTCTATTTTTGAAAATAAACAAATGATATAAATCAATTTATATATAAAAAAAATACATTAACAAATTCACTTATGTTAAAGCATACATACATATCTTTTGGGGATGGCTTGGAGTTTTATCTAGTTTGCTTGAAAAAGAATTAAAAAATGCTCTCGAACATGTGAAATATAGATAAATAAAGTTTTTTATTTTAAGGATAGTATTTTTTATATAAATATTTAGATAAAAAATGTAGCTAATACGAATTATTACTTTTATTTTATAATTTTTTTAATTTAGTAATTTTCTTTATACAATAGGAACTCAATAAGCCGAGCTATGCCCAAGTAGCTCAACACTGTCGTGAGCAACCTTGTACGAAACACAAAGTAGAAGAAAAAGAAGGAAGCGAATAAATTGATATGTAAGTTACTTCAATTTGTCACTTTATTATTTATGAGCCATATTAATAATTAATTATAAAATTGTTTTTGATTGTAACATTTAGTTGATTAATAGTTATTTTATCTATAATTTTACAGATATAACTGCAATTCATAAGAAATAGCAGTTAATTTCATCATTTGGAACTAAATGGATTCATTATCGCTTCTAAAAATAAAATAATGGACAAAATGAACTAATAAAATAGTGGTTGTACAAGTGGGCGTAACAACAAAAAACTTTTTACATTGTACAGTGACTTTGCCTATTCTGAGTGTGGTATTATTTGTTAATAACGGATTCTAATAAAAAATTCAACAATAAGGGTCAAGAAAAAGCTATAAAAAATGTTTAAAAATGAAAAAAAAGTAGATATAGAGATAATTGGAGATAACGAATGAACAATAATGAATATTAAACGATTAATCATTTTGCGCAAATTAATAAAAATTTCAAACAACTTAAAGTACACTATTGCTGACAGGATAATACATTGCTTTCAGAGTATCGGTATTGCTTTGGTTCTGTGATTTTGGAGGTACATATTTAATAGTTTTTAAAGAGAAAAACATTAACATAAGCTTTTAATGATTTTATTCCTTGTTTTCCCACTTTGTGAAACCGAAAGGCTGTAAAGTGATGGAAAGATGATAAGTTTTAGCTTTGTGCCAAAACCCGAAATCACGAGCACACAGTGTATAATCTAAAGCAACGAATGTGTAATTAGTAATGCGATTGAAATGGGAGTAAATAACGAATTTCATTCAATACCAGTTCTCTCGTGCTAATAATGTTTTAAGCAACTGTGTTAAAGTGTGAATGATTTTCAGTTTCTTTCTATAAACGATGAGTTTATTTTATATGAAAAGATTTTTTCAATATTTTTGTGTCCATACTGGTGGTTAATTTTTTCTGATTTTTTTAATTACACGAATGATTTATTCTTTATTTTTAAGACATGACTATTGTTTCGAACATTTCTCAGTTTTTCATTAGGGTCAATGAACGTTTTATTTATGATCACAAGAATTTATTTGTTTGATTGGGATAGTATAATTATTTTTCATAAACAATGAAAAACGCTGCACAAAAATATTTCTTCAATTATTTTGTGTAGAGAAAATAATAAGAGAAATAAGGGAAATTTTTCTCACTAACTGACTTCCATTAATAAAAATTAAAAATTTAAATAAAATTGACCGTCATAAGGCTATGTATGATTTGAATGATACAAGGTTAGTGCACATGACAAATGAAGACAAATACAAAATAAGAATTAATCAGTTAACAAAATTAACAAACGTATCCGGTGATTATAATGTGACAAAACAAAAATAGTATTCCAAAAAAATACTAATAGTCGTTGGTTTTCGTCACATTCTTTAGACTTTGCTTGTTACTTGTTTTTGCATAAATTACAAATAATTATGGCACAGGCTTTTTATTTTATAAAAATATTGTTATAAAACAATTAACATACAATTTAGAATATTATGCTTTTGGCAAGTAACATAAATGAAGTGATGTCTGACGACGGACTACGGTATATATATTAAACATAAATATATATATATATACATACAAACATATATATATATATATATAAATATATATTTGAGCACACAATTAAGTGCCTCAAGTGTTATTGTATATTACAGGAGCTTGGCTTTAGATGTTATATGATTATATGTAAACTACATTAAACATCTTAGCAAGTAAAAAATATAAAAAATAAATTGATAAAAACTACGCATATGATATATTTGTTACTGATATGCGTACAGAATTGAAAAATGAATATTACAGTGAGTAAGAAATAAAAAAAAATGACAAACAATAAAAATAAAATAAAAAATAATATTAAATTGAGTATAAATGGATATAAGTAAAAAAAAAAAATACGATTTTCTGATTAAGTAAAAAAATAATGGATATGTGGATTAAAATTTAAATGTAAACAATTGTCATATTAAGTTAGTTAATGCTGCCTTTTAATTTTTATTACATTTCTCGATGAAACCTCATCCGTTTGTATATGTAATCGTTCACTAATAAGAATATTGATGATTGAGAAACAGAATTAGAAATATTATTCAATGAACGAAAATAATAGAAAGCTATTTAGAAAATGAAAAAGAGATGCGAAAAGAGTAAAAAATGAGTACGGAGTATAAAATAATTAAAAATAATACGTGCCTATTTATGAGGTAACGCTACCTTGCAAATTCCTTCTTCTTAATAAGAATAAAAGAAAATGAAAAAATGAAGTAAAAGATTTAAAAACTCAAAGTTACCGAATTAACAGAACATAAAAAAAATATTAAAAATAACATAGACAATGTGTATGCACTTAAAAATAAACGTATTGTGAACAGCATTTAATCTTAATAAAATTTAAACAAAATGCAAGGTTTGCAAAGAGGGAGAGAAAGAGAAACAATTAAACGATAAAAATGCTATCTTCGTTACTCCATATGACATTATTACTAATTATTAATCAAGGATAGTTCATTTGAATGAATGTCCTAGATTATTTATACGTCTTTCGCTCTACATCTAACTATAAAGCTAATGGTTAATATTAATATAACTATTAATATTATGATTGTACTATAATATAAATAATATTAATATTTTTATTAATATAATTTCTATATTATTATTATAATTATTATTACAATGATTTCAGTTTTATTTTGAAAAAGAAGAAAAATGTAAAAAAATACAAATGACGAATATATTTTACAGTTTTCGTCGATGTTTTCACTAGTTATATTATTACATAAATCTATAAGTTTAATATAATGTGTCACAATGACTATTTTACTATTAATAAAATAATATAATAATAATATTGATAAATAAATAAATAAAAAACCAAGATAGAAATGAATAACGAAAAAAAGAAGAAATTAATACAGATAATTAATAACGTTGATAGCAATGCCTTGGATCTGAAAAATGAAGTAAATAATTTGTATTCAAATACCAAATAAACTTCCATAATCTTATGATATTTTTCATTATACATATGTAAAAATTATAATGATAATTTTGAACAAGTGAAGAAAAAATGGAAAAATAATTACGAATCAAGTACGAGTGGTTCTATCTAAAATTAATTACATATTAATAAATTAATTATAATTGTCTTCTTGCATATACATACGACGTAAAGTTTATTGTATAAGTAATCGCAAAACAAATTAATTGATAAAAAAAAAATGTAATATTCTAATATATTGCTTATATTACGATTGTCCAAGTTAAAGTATATTGTTTGAACAATTAAATTAATTATTCAATGAAAAAACAATTATAAAAATATGGATGTGGTGTGAATCTTTTATAATTTATGATGATCTGAGGCATTAATGAATTCTTAGATCATTTTTTACTGGCATTAATGTTAAAAAAATGAGTGTGATTATTCATTGATAATGCTATAAAAAAATTTCATTTTATTTAAAAATTACTATTATGTCGTAGATCAACATAAATTGTGAAGTCATAATTGATAAAAACAAACTAATGAAAATAAATTCAAAGTACATAATAAAATGCTCTCAGTTAAACAGGCTGCTGATCCAGAAAGTCTGATTTTGTAATTACTATGAGGATGTGTATAATAATATGGTCCACTATTGTTTATTACTGTGTGAAACGATAAATTCAAAACCACGTAAGGAGAAAAATTTTTAAAAACACAAAAAAATGAAAACTATTACTGTTATTAATATCTTCGTTTCTAATTGATTATCACTATTTAGTAAAAAAGAACAAAACAAAAAATGTTCAATGACGCTTTTTTGTCTAGAATTGTTATTCAAAAAAAAAAAAAAATTGTCGGTAACATACATAAATATCATATTACTACTGTCTACTATTTTTTATTAAGAATTTAATAATTTTTTCTTTTGTTTATTAATCGTACAAAGTGAAAATAATTAATTATAGACACTAGGGAACGGCCTAGAGTAAAATTATAAGCGAATAGACGAAAAAAAATGAAGAGATCGATAGAGAAAAGCCAAAAAAATTAATGATTAAATAAACAAGTAAATGAAAAAAAAAAAAAGTAGTCGTGATGATAGTACAGAATGATTTTTGAAACTTTAGCTAATGAGAGTTAAGAAAAAAATATTATGCATGAAATTTCATTCAGGGCATATTATATGTAAAGAAACTGCCGATATTTTTAACAAATGAGACTGACAGATTTCTTCAGTGGATACTAATTGTCATTTAACATCAAATTACACTTTATATTAATTTAGAAAAATTTTTTAATTTTTATTATCACTTATTTACCAAGATTTTATAAATTTCATTCAATTTTTTGCAAATATCTGACGCTTAGCCACTTCATCAATACGAGCGATAATTAAATAATTATACAATAGATAAATCTAGTTAAAATTATTATTGTATTCATTGGCGGTTTCATTAGCTCAAATATGCTGAAATTAAGGATATTTTCAAAAATCTTATCTAATTAGTTGATTAACTAAGAATAATTTTTTTCATAAGTTATAAGTTTTGAATTTGTGTTATTTTCCATTATTATTTAAATCATATTGTTCTACAGTTTTTCAGTTTATTATTATTATTATTATTACTATTATTACAATTATTATTATTATTACTATTAATTGAATAATTAAAATGCTTAAGGTAAAAATAACTTTAATATTTGTTTTATTTAAATGTTTTTCTTTGTTGTTTTCTTTTGTCACATGTTTCCTGTAATTTGAATACATAATTGTTTTAAATAGAATAGACATGTACATGAAAAGTAGGGGAATTATTAAAAAATATATTTAATAATAATTGTAGGCCAGAACATTGAAATTAATAATTTTTGAGCCATCATAATGTTGCATGTCTGTGCGTCTACTATCATTCCGTGCCTTTTTAGTATGTGGTTGAAACAATTTGTGAAGATTCTCCGAAATAAATACGAAATAATTTTTCGTCTAATTTATTTCATTGGTAATAAAATAAAAGAAACAATAATAGACAGCAAAATAATATTTATAAATTCATTATTAATGAATTTTAGATGCAAACTAATTCATTTTTCATGCGGATTAATATGCGCATATCAGTCCATATAATATTTTGACAATTTCCCCAGGTAAAATAATACAAAAGTAGAAGATGGTAAAATGAAATGAAAAAATTAAAACACAGACACACACACGAAAAAAATGATAATACTATTTAGATTTAAATGTAATTTCTCCTTATTGATTAATTGTATGTAACGCCGATTTGCAATTAATTCACCGCCAATGAGAGTAGAAATATTTTTATAGATTCGTTTCAACGTTGATCGACTACCTATGAGATATACTACATGAGCAAAACAAAATAATAACTGCAGAAAAGTATGTATGAATGTTATGTGAGTTGAATTGATGAAACAATAGTGAACAAAAGGAAAAATGAAAACTAAAAAAAAGGGTAATGTCATTAAAAGCGATTGTATTACCAATATTGATATAGACTACAATAAAAAAATAAAATTAAAAAAAAAGTACAGTACAGTAAACTAAATAAAATAAATGCGAGTAAGCTAATGTATACTATCACATGAATTAATTAATGAACAATTAAAGCGATATAAAAGTGAAGTAAAATAAAATTTAAAAATACTTTTCGTGATTGTGGGTTTTTTTGGTGTATTTAAAAAAATAATGTGAGTGTATATAAAAGATTTATCCATTGCACCCAGAATTAGGGATAAAAAAATACTTTGTACATAATATACATAAGATAAATAAATAGATATACGCATCTAGCTTAATACAATTCTTGACATTTACCTTTTTTCTACTAAAACACTTACTTTAAACCTACATTTATTTAATTATAAAGGCAAATCATTTTTATCAATAAAATAAAACAATAAAATAACAACAGAGTCTACAATAAAACAAGTTTCTTGATGATGTTAACATTTAAATATATATTTTCTTAAAATCTTTAACAGGTACAGAGACACAAACTACATTTGAAGCAATATTGAAAGATTCACAAATCATAATTAATTAAATAAACAAAAACTTCCAAATAGGAAGTGAATAATTATTCATAGCAGCTACAAATGATTTTTATTTAGTTGTCAATTGTTTTCATTTCATTTTCAATGTTAGGGCTTTTGTCATCATCGCTTTCAGAAGACGAATCATGAGGTAAATTGATACCTTGAGTTAAAAGACTGGTTATTTTTTCAACATCTACGGTATCATCTTGTTCATGTATTTTTTTCAAAGCATTAGAAACAATGCACAGATCACCACGAAGTTCACTGACTAGAGCTGTAATTTTCTGAGCATCTGTTAAAACTTCTACTGACTGAGTATACGCATTGTAACGAACACCAAAAGGACGATGGATCTGATTGGCAAAAGTCCTGTAATTGAAAAACTTTTCTTAATTATTAACTGATAGATTGATTAAAAATCCCGTATAAAAAGATTTTATTTCTCAAAGGTTCCTCGAATGTTCTCCAGTGGGGGAGTTTCCCGACGTTTTCCTCGTGGAACTATGGAGAACACCGTCAAACATTCCATATCTCTCATAGTTTCCGGGTGATGAGCGTTGAAAAGTTTTATTATGCTTTACTGCAGCATAGCTTAGTTTTCTACTAGTAACTCAGGATCTATGAGGTCTATATGGACAAATGAGCATATCAATGGATTCGTGAGAATGAGATCTTTTTATTGCACTTGTAAAAATTATAATTAGAACATAATTTATGCTGAAAATTGAAGCAAGTTCCCGTTTTACCCCATTTTAGGGGTGAAATAATTTATTTTTTATATTTTGGACCTGATTCCGCATTTCTACGCAGTGAGACAAAGAGAATGAGTGGTCAAACTTGAAAATCGGACAACTTTGATTTTTCGACCCCAAAAAATGGCAAGTGGTACCCCTTTCCATTTTTTTCAGCCAAAAAATAAAAGTACTCCGATTTTGATGAACGAGGGCTCATTCTCTTCGTCTTGATGCGTAGAAATGCGAAATCGGGGCACTGGTCAAAAAAATTCACTTTAACACCCTCAAAAAGGGGTAAAACTAGTTACAAATTAAGATTCATCATCCCCTTGACTTTATACTCCTATAACTCATGAACAGACAGTCCAATAACTGTTTTTAGGGACGTTTTAGAAACCTCGAAATTAAAGGTAAATATGCATATCCGTAAACAATGTATAAAAAATTTCTTTTACCCTTAAAATTGCTAAAATATAAAAAACAATCACATTTTTTTAGGAGTTTGCCAACTATTTCGGCCATTTTAAGGGTGAAATAAATTTTTTCCATATAGACCTCATAGATCCTGAGTTACTAGTAGAAAACTAAGCTATGCTGCAGTAAAGCATAATAAAACTTTTCAACGCTCATCACCCGGAAACTATGAGAGATATGGAATGTTTGACGGTGTTCTCCATAGTTCCACGAGGAAAACGTCGGGGAACTCCCCCACTGGAGAACATTCGAGGAACCTTTGAGAAATAAAATTTTTTATACGGTATCATTCAAATTAATTTATTTATCAAAGTACCGCATTTTTTCTTTTGCTTCTTCAATGCTGTCAGTGTAATAATAAGCATTTTGATAAGCAGTAATGATACATTCTTGTTTGCATGTAATTTCAGGCTCAAATCTGAATATCTTGTCTTTTGCTTCAATTGCATGTTTCATTTCAGCTACAGATGAAAGTAATCCTGCTCCATAAATTCGAAGATCACCGTCTTGTTTACAGAGTCCGAACTCAACCGTGAAGAAGTAAAGCTGCAATATCATGATATTTTCATTCGTTTTCAAAACTAATCATATGTTAAAGCTCAACACAAAAAAATATATATTAATGAAACAGATTGTATTTTTGGAAGGAAATTCTCAGTGAAAATATAATAAATAAACTCACCGTTGCTAATTTATTTATATCATCATCAGATGCTCCTAAGGATGCTAATCCAAGTTCTTGAGAAAACTGAGCGAAACTTGGATTTGCCAGAAGAGGCATGTGGCCTAAAAGCTCATGGCAACAATCACTGTAAATAAAAATAACATTTATTTATATAAATATCATTCAGATAATAAATCAATAAAATGTATTCACGGTTCAGGAGTGTAGAATGGATCTGATGAATGACGAATGTACTGAGTACAGTGGAATACTCGAAAAGCTAATCCAGCCAAAAAATCACGTGGGGATAAATATCCTGCCACTGGACGTAATTGGAAACCTGTCATTCCTTTAAAAAAAATAAAAATTCTAAATCTTATTTTCATGTTTTATAGTCATTGCTTTATTTATTTATAAATATGATTACGTTTTAGAAAGTTGGAGATGTCTTGAAGTTGAGGTATGTTATCTTCCCTGAAAAAGAATTAACAAAACTGTTATTTCTAATTAATTAATGATTAAAAATTTTTTTTCTTACCGGTAACCACAATATTTAACCAACTTTGGCCAATTTTCTAAATACTCTTTACAAGCATGCTTGACATAGAGTTGATGAAGCTCACGAAAGACTGTTCCCCTAAATAAGAAATGAACAATTGAGTTTTTTAAAAAATTAATCATTTTTAATGGGAACTTGAGTTTATTTTATTTAACTGAAATACTTAGTTAGTGTTACTGATAAAGTTTTCTATCAATTTGTCAAGTCTCATTTGTTGAAGCTTTTAGCTTCAGAACATTGAATTAGGGCAATTAAGGTGCATTCAATACATCTTGAGTTTGAAAGACGTGTGGATAGAACTTGAACGCGTGAAAATTGAAGTTAGTAAAGAATATATATATATACTTTTTTCAGATTTAGTTTGATTGGCATCATAGTCAGATAAACACGACTATGCGAGAAGTAGAAGGAGATAAAACTTTTTATAAATTATTATCTTCTTGTTCTTTGCAATTTATATATTCTTTTACAATTTTCTTACTTACCAAGTCTTTATTTCTTCAGGAGTATACTGGATCCGTGGGATGGGTTGTCCACTTAATAAAAAATCATTTTAAAATTTAGTAAATAAATAAAACAATGGTGTTGCTTGAATCACTTACTGTTTAAAATTGTTAGCAATATCAGCAAATTGTTGTCGACGTTTCCGGTAAACTGGATCCTTAAATCCCTGCGATAAATTTCATTAATTTTTAACATAGTATTCAATTGACTAGTTTTATTTTAGTGTACTTTTACTTACAGGATGATCAGCATCAAGCTCATTTCCATACATTAAAACCTTTTGTGCTTGATCAAGGTCTGCTATTTTTCGTGGGAACCATAACATGTCAACTTCACCAAAATCTATATTAACAATAATTTGATATAATAAAATCATTTACTCGTTAATTAGTTAGTTGATAAGTTCATTAATTTTTGAGTTGAAAAAATGAGTTGGGTGATTAATGATGACTATTACCAAAACTCGGTGCAGCAGATAAAGGAGGAAGAGAAGGTATGTTGCCACTCTGTTCATACTGAGAAAGATTAATTGCAGCTACTTCACGGCTTAACATTCTAGTAAGTTGTTCCATCCTTTTTGGCTCACACTCAACATCCACCAAAATCTCATATTCGGAACCACGTCTCACTGATTTTCTTGACTCAATGTGAACAACATTTACACCCAAATCCTTGGAAAAAAAATATAACTACTTGTTAAGAAACTTTTCATTGCTTTTTAATATTATAATAGAATAATTGCATACTTGAAATACTTGTAGAGCTCGAGCTAATCCACCGATCTGATTTTTTAACGAAAAAATCACAGAATTCCTTGAATCTGAATCTTCTACTTTCTCGACTCTTGACATCTGTTAATTATTTTTATGTGTATAAAAATTTTTTAATTGGTAAACAATCTTCTTTTCACATAGAGAAATAACAATAAAGGTTTTAAATTTGTTCAATTAAAAAAAAATGGTGAACTATATTTACATCACAAATATCAATTTCAAAACAGTGAATCAATTTTATTTTGATCAAGTTATTTAATTTAAAATGTTTCTATTAGTGGTTTAAATATTTAACTTACATCATTTGGTCTATGTATAGGGCTACCTTCTTTGATAGACCATTCTTCACCTCTTCGATACAACCACATCCCCAACAGACCTTTTCCTGATCCACTCATTGTTAAAACTTTCTCAGAACGTCACTTAAAACCTCACAAGTTCACCGCTAGAATTTATTTATTCAGCCAAAAAATTATTTCAGTATTTGATCTTCAATGGGATGATTCTTAACACTTGACTGAGATAAATCAGAGTGTCTTCTGATACTGAGTATCGCGGTCTTTTAAACACTCACCCCTCCGTTCACCAGAGAAATACTTCTCGCTATTGGTCGATTGCTATGGGGGGCCCACCATTGACGTTTTATTGGTAGATTAAATGTTACATGGAATTTGCAATTGTACTTGGGGGATATTTTTCATTACTTTAATGTTATCGGATATAATTAAAAATTAATTTTAAAGAATCATTTAATTAAAACAGTAACTAATTATTAGAAAAATATATTTAGAAATATTTCGAACAATACTGATGTTTATTTAATTTTACAAACATTACAAAATAAATTAAATGTTATGATAAATGATATGAAACAATAATTCTCTATAATAAATAAATTTAGTGTGATTTTTACTACTTGAAGGAAAATTTTTTTTCATATATCAGGATATTTTTAGTTATCAATCACTCAATGTCGATGAATTAAAAACAGTAATAAATAGCTTCTTTAACAATTGAAGCTGACTTGGGTCGTTACGCAGGATATTACAATTCACGGTGACTAGATATAACGAAGATTTTAAATAATGAATGGAAGCATAAGTGAGGAGACAATTCAATAAAACAAAGCTCTCCCTACTCTTTATTTCAAAATTAAAAGCAAAAACCCTGATAGATAAAAAAAAAAGAATAACTCATTGAAAAAAAAGAAAATAAATAAAACAAGTCAACAGTATTCTTATTCAAACACTCTTCTCCCTGCAAGTAGATACAGCACATTATGGTCGGCCCATCACTTACTGCTATCAGAAAATTCTACTACCCTACTGCTACTTGCTTAAATAATTCTAAATGTTATTCCTTGATGGAACTAAAGGAATTGTACAATCAACCTTATATTATTACTGAAAACATGAGTCTTTATCAATAAATCATTTACAGTGATTGAATCAAGTACAATTCATTCATAAATATTTATATAACTTAGTTCATCATGTTAATGGATTAGTAGATAATATTCACTTCATTTCCACGTTTACAAAAGGAAATGCTTTTGACAATCTCCAAATGGTAATTTTCTTTATCACATTTCCTTTGTTATATTATTCTTGTGTTTCGTCCATATGTTAGAGTTTATCTTTGCCTGTTGAATGACAGCTATTCGCTCTGACTTGTCTATAACTATAGTTGAGCGCAACAAGTTACCTTCCGACATAATTTAACATTTTTCCATTAAAACTAATCAATTAATTATAATACACTAGAACTATTTCCTGATTAATAATTTCACAATTCTACTATTTATTTATTTTTAATTGATATAGGTTTGGTCAAATTAAAATTAAAACAAGTTTTTTTTGTTATGTATTTGATAAAATATCCTGCAAGAATCTCAAAGTAAATAGAGAAATAACTTTTACTGATATTTTTTATGGATAATTTTTTAAAAAAGAAAGTCAGCAAAATTAAAACTTTCAAAGCTTTTGAAAGAAAAGTAAGGAAATAAGAAAATGGATATTGAATGTCTGTAAACAATAAAAATCCTCTGTTCAAACGTTCTTGGCACGACTTAAAGAAAGATCCTTTCTTCAAAAAAAAATTTTTTTATTGTAAGTATTTACGTAAAAATATTTATTATTCACTACAGTAGATTTAAAAAAATTGCATCATACAATAAACTCATTAATCATTTTATCATTGATCTAATTGATATTAATAAAGTATTTCAATTTTTTATTGTTTAGCATTTTTGATTCATGGAATAGCAAAAAGTTTTTTTTTATAAATGAAAAGACATTTTTTTGTCGAAGGATAAATGTTATCTTATTGAAATACATGAGTCTGGAATAAAATAAAAAAAACGAGTTTTCTACCTCCAACAGCTTGAATGTAATGACGAAGAAGCGTCAAAAGAGGGGTTGGCGCTTGCGTCTGATAACACCCTGAATCAATAGCTTACGATAGTAGCGCCCCAGTTGGTGTCGTTGTCGAAAGTGCCCCCGCTGTCGGCATCTCCAGGATCCAGAGCTGCTGAGAATGGCTGACACTGAATTCGAAGAATTTCGACAATATTTCGACCAATTACCTCAGCATCTAAAAGCTCCAATTTCTAATTACACGTAAGTTTTCATTCACATTGAATTTTTAAAAAATTTTTCAATTTCACCCCTATCAATAATTTCCAATTTCTATAACTCAAGTCATTGCTTTTTCAATGTCTAGACACATTTATATCCTAGGTGTGGTTCTATTAATTATTTGTAGTTACATGAATACTTCCTCATTTGCTATTTTCAATGTTGAATGTATTTTTTAATATTTTTCTTGAGGTACGAATATTTAATATAAGTGTGTCAGACTATTTTTAAATATTTTATTTTGGCTACTTCTGAGTCGTCAACATAGGTTAAAGTGTCTATTGACAGATGAATTAATCAATATGTCTTCATTGAAAATGATTAGTTTGCCTCAGCAGATTAATCTGCTCATTATTTTCGGTTTTTAAAATCAATTAGATGCATGAGATATGTCGTTGAATAAGTAAGTACTCACTAGAATACTAATATTAATGTATTTTTACAAAAATAGCCTAATATTAAAAAAATAGAAGAGCAAATGAATTAATGATATTGGAGCGCAATCTTTTATCCACATAAAGAATGCATGTCTTCAAACTGCAACTTGAGTCTGACCTCTAACTCCTTCTCCCCTTTCGTGCGTCGATACTAGCTAGAAATATATATTTGGAGATAGCGCATTGCTCAATGTTTAATGCATTAATATGATATTTTTCTAAACAATAAAGTAAGTCATACTGCATTTTGTAGAATTATTCTTTTTACGGAAGTCGATTAATCTTTTCACTTTATTGTAAATATTTCAATTGATCTCAACATATAAGGCTTCTTAAAATAGTCTGATTAACATTTATATTATGTCTGATATGTCACTTGTCTATTTTCTTGATGACAAAAATTGATTTGTACAACAGAAGCACTAAAAATAAATAACAACATGTTTCTTTTTTCAATTTTCAATATCCAATTTATGATAAATAAAACAATCATTTTATTCCTACTGATGTAGAATACTTTTAAAACGAATGTTTTTCGTTGTTATAGGCTCGTTCATGATGTCATAGTTGATGATTCCCCAACATCATCGCAAGCAAGTGATGGAGATGTTGTCCAGACATGTCCTGGAGTTGTAGTTGATTCAGATGATGAAGACACTGGTGTGATTCATCGTCATGATAATCAGAGTGGTCATACTTCAGGTGATGATAGTGAGGATCTCGACCAACATTCTTCCATAGTCGCCGACAGTGATTTCAGGTAAATAATATCACTATTTTTATGCTTTGGTTAATTACCATTTTTCCATGAATAAATTGGGTTTTGAAATGGAAAGAAAGTAATTGAGATACTTGAATTAATTGGAGTCTGAGGTCGCTTAATTGAGTCAAAATTGTAATGAGAAGAGTAACAAAGCATGAAAAGAGTAGTTTAGGTAATTATACATGAGACTACCTTGGATGACATTAGTTTGTTCGGCGGCCTAAGCAGCAGGGGTCGACATACCAGCCTTAGTGGTGGTGTTTCAAGTGGAGGAAGACGTGATAGTGTTGTAAGTGATGCTGGGGGATCGTGTTCAAGCCTTGGATCATGTTGGCCTACTCCTGAACATGCACCCAATAGACCTGGAAGCAGTGGAAATGAACGAAGGCGAAGACGGTTGCCTGAAATACCTAAGAATAAGAAAGGTGAGGACTGCTTTGAATTTCGTAGTAATTTTTAGCTCAAGATAAAAAAAAAAAGACATCAGTGATGAATAATAATAATTTTAATGGAGATATTTTTTTAAATGTCTAGCAACAAATGGTAATCTACCTCTTCATTCATCCCCATCATTGGCTGATGAGCTAGCAGGAGTTACATCAGGAAGACCTCATTTAATATTAAGAAAATGTCATTCAAGAATATTACATGAAGATTCTTCACCAGATAGTGAAAGAATGACAACAGATAGCGGTCATAGTACAGCTCATTCACCAGATAATGGACCTAAAAGTGTATCTCCCATTCCGTGTAATACGCTACAAAATACTGATTCTGCATCACCAAGCAGTACTCCAGGTAGATATAATAAATTGAATTTATTAATTCATTTATTTATATTCTATTTACTAATTTGTTTATTCCTAAAGGAAGTGGAGGTATACCTTTTACACAATTAGAGCTTTTAGAAGCAACTCATCGTGGCCTACACAAATTTATTCCTCGACATCATGATGAAATTGACCTAGAAATTGGAGATCCTATTTATGTTCAGAAAGAAGCCGATGATTTATGGTGTGAAGGTCAATACTAAATGATTTATCAAATTGACTATGAATTTTTCAGATAATGAAGAATAGTTTTTAAAAAAGAATCATTTTTAGGTGTAAATCTTCGAACAGGTCGTCAAGGAATATTTCCATCAGCTTATGCTGTAGACATGGATTACAGTGATTTTGATCCTTCAGCACCTAAAGTAAAACGAGAACGTTATCTCTTGGGATATCTCGGATCAGTTGAAACATTAGCTCATAAAGGAACCGGTGTTGTATGTCAAGCAGTTCGTAGGATTGTTGGAAATACAGCCAGTGATTCGCCAGAATCACAGAGTTGCATCCTTGAAGTTTCAGATCAAGGCTTACGTATGGTTGATAGAAGGAAATCAAAAGTAAGATTTTTATTATTTTATATACAGTCAACAGTAAAAATGTTAAGTTAATAATTCAATTAAATTTACATGAATTTTTGTCTGATTGAGCAGCAGAAAAATCAGGGACCATGTCATGATTATTTCTACTCTTTAAAAAATGTTTCTTTTTGTGCTTTTCATCCACGAGATCATCGATATTTAGGCTTTATCACAAAGCATCCAACACTGCAAAGGTTTGCATGCCATGTGTTTATCGGTCAAGAATCTACGAGGCCTGTTGCAGAAGCTGTTGGGTAAGTAATTATATCAAAGAGCGGATGTTTAAGTCAATTTAAATGTTAATAAATGAATGATTTTTTTAGGAGAGCTTTTCACCGATTTTACACTAAATTCATTGAGACTGCTTTTCCTATAGAAGATATCTATATTGAATAAAGTTATTCCTGAAGTTAGAATTTACTTTTATGGCGAAATAATTTTTCCCGCCGAATTTTAATAAAAATCCTTGTAAATACACCCCAAGTAAGCTGTAGATATATACATATATAAATAAATAAACAAACACAAATCAAATACTTCATAATACTTTGTAATTATTAATTATTTTATAATTAATGTGATATTTTTTGCACTAATAATTGTAATTTTGGTTTCTTTTATTATTATAAATTATAAATTAGAAATCACGAATTATCTATATTTTTTTAAATTAGTCTTTTAAGATCATATTTATAAATTAATTTATCTATCTTTGGAGATGTTAATTATCATTTAATGTTTTTCAGATACTTCAAATTTTAATCTTTATCATTTATATTATGTAATATTCATAAATAAAATGTCAATTTAAATTTCAAAATTATTCAATCGATAAAGGTTTATAAATATCAACACATACTAATAAAAACTATGTAATTAAAATAATTGATTGTTTAATATTTTTCTTTTGAACAAAAATAAAAATTTTATTAATAATACTTGGATTCCTTGATTTCAATGATTGTTTATTTTTAATTAATCTATTTGTTTCTACGTTTATCATAAATATTTAGATTCAAATAGTATTTAAAGAGTATAAAAACTAATGTCACTATCAGTTTGGCTAGAAAATTTATGATTTTCAAAGCAAATACATTGTAGTGAGGATTGACTTTTAATATTTTTGTCAAAAATTATTTGCTATCGTCGATAAATATGAAAAATGGGTTGAAAATAAGATACGAAGGTGAAATTTGTTGTCAAAATAAAAATCAAGAGCCACCTGTATTGTATTATATGCATAATCAGGAAAGTATAAATATAATAACGTATTTACAATGTTACAAAAATTAACGTCACTTTAAACAATAGGCTTCGGTATATTTTATTACATATATATGTATAAATATTTATATATATAAATATATGTAGGTTTGTCCATTTATATATATATATATTTATATGCACCGACTGTCTGTGTCATTTTTGTATCTAACAAATAATAAGCTAAAAATTAATGAAAGAATAAAAACCTCAAGAATCTACTGAATCATGATTTGAATAATAATTATATTAGTTATAATTTATAGATAACAGTATAGAGTATTGAATTGATTTTTGAGCAATTTATATGAATATTTGATGGAGAAAAAATCAGTAAAATATACAATTTCAGTCTCTAGAATATAAAAAAAACAATCAAATTTTTTATATGCGATTTACAATTAGACGGTAATCGCTTAGAATAATTTATTAGTTTTCGTTTTTTTTTCATTCAATTTTTCTATCTTTTAACTCTTGTACTAGAATTGAAAATACATAAACACAGACAGTTTGGATTTGAAATTTGTACTATACATTAGTCAGAGTTTTAGAGAATATCTACAATTTCAAATGATTCTCATCAATTATAACGAATGATTTTGAAATGTAGTATACCCAATTCTAATGTCTTAATCGACAAGTTAAATTATGCGCTTGTTATCTACTATTCACAATATTTTATCGTAAAACTTAAACAAAAATAAACAACTTAATTAATTGCTTACAATTTATATGTGGAGTCAAGTACAAAAGAATTATTTATAAAAACGAGTAAAACAACTTTTTTGAAAGAAAATGGGCTGTACTATGAAAATTATGATTGATAAAAAAAAATTATTTGCAGTTGGTTGATAACTCAACGTACTCTCTCATTATTTGTCGTGAGTTTAAGAAACTTTTTTTTTTGATATAGTACAATCATGTAATATATCAATGAAAATGACGTATTTAAAAAAAGAATTCAACTAAAAATATATAAAAATTTTTGTTTCGTAAACTTATAATAAACGTAGAAATAATAATAATAAAAATAATATTTATAAATCTAACATTTCTATCAATTGCACTATTAAAATTTTCTTCATTACAACAAATCGCAATTTTACTTTCTAAAAACGATAGCAATATTTTATTTATATTGTTAATAATAATAATGATTACAATTATAATCATAACAATCATGAATAAAAAAAATGATATTGAACTTGACTCCTTTGGTTTTCACGACAGTACTATTGATATAAAAATTGCGTAGATCAACCAACTAATGAATAAATGATGATAAATAATTATTATCCTTACATCTTAGTATTTTTATATACTAGCAAATCATTTCTCTCCCCTAAATTAAACGTTTTTAACACATAACGATAAATATTTCAATGGTCTGAACTTATTTTCAAATTATTTTCTTACATTAAAATTTCTTAGCTAAAGTTATTAGCATTTTTTTTACATTCACATAGGCATCGACAAGTCGATTAACATTTTTTTCCAATTTTAATTTTTTCATTTTAACTGTTATTAAATATTATTTCAGCATATCATTCTTCGAAACAACTTTTTAGTATCATGTTCATTTACACAAACTTGCAGTAATTCATTCTCAATACACATTTATAATTAATTATTCAACTAATATGATCTAATAATTAGATAATTACAGTTATACTTGTTAAAATAATTATAGTATGTATGTAATACACAATATTTATATATGTATATAGTAAAATTAACATTGCAGTCTTACAATGAGCCAATTATAACGATGGCAACAGTTCAAAATTTTCCTTCTTTATTATATTTCAATCATAAAATCTTGGTTGCTTGATCGAATGTGTTTGAGTGTCACATTTCTTTTCATCATTATAATTTTTTAATGTATTTTATAATAATTTTATTCTCATTTTTGCGAAGTAATAGGCAATTTCATTACATAGAGGTAGTTATGTATTTAAACATGAATAGTTGAATAAGAAAAAAAATAATTTTTTTTATATAAAACCGAATTTTTTTATGATAAACAAAAAAATAAATTTCCTTTAAAATCATAATAACGTTTCATAACTAATAATATATAGATATTTCCAATCTAAAATTGATTTCATCGTTCGATTACGTCAATTTTAAATTACTTTTCGAAGTCTTATTAATGAGAGGTTTCCTTCTATAATGAAAAAAATATACATATAAATTATTTAATTAATTTGATCAATTAATTGGTTACATACATTTTAAAATCCATTCTAAGTCTTGTTTCAGATCATTGTCTATTTTTCAGTCTTTTTTTGAAAAAATCATTCGATTGCACAATTTTTCTTTCTTTTATTTTATTTACGCACTTTTTTTCATTAATTAGATTAAATAATTTTTTTAATTCACTTTTTCACTTGTTTCGAACAAAAATTCTCAACTGTTCTCAACGTTCAATATAAGATTAATTTATCAATACAATGAATTAACCAATTTACTAACTTTAGGAAAGTCCTCTCATTTTTATTTCATCATTTTTAAGCTCCACAACTGCATAATTTCTGCTTATTTTCAATTAATATTATTAATTATTATAGATTTCGTTTAGGATGATTATTTTATCTTCAAACATCGAGATCATGTACATTATGCATATGTAAACTTTCATGATCTTCTTGAAGAGTTTTTATCATTTCCTTCTGTATTTGATGCTCGGCTTGTAGCTGATCGAAATCTTCTCTTTCAGTAGATAAATCAGAGTTTTCAAATACGAGTCCTAATTCATTCAACTGAATTCCTTGGTAACTTATTCGGTTTTCTAAATGTAAATAGGTCTCTCGTAATGTCTGTTCGACTTGATCATTAGGAAAATTTTGTAAATTAGTTTCTAAATCCTTCCCAGTGTCAATTACTTGATCAAGTTCGTCTAAAACTTTCAAAATATTCGGATTTGCTTTCATTATCGCTTGAAGGTTCAAATCCTCCAATTCATCTTTTTCAGCGAATCCATTATGTCGTTGCTTTTTATCCAGCACTGGACTTTTTTCCTCTTCGACTGATCTTTTTATTCCTTGATGCTCTTGTCCATTCATATTTTCACTTTTGATAGAAATTGGTGTACTATTTACAAGGTTATCGTGATTATTACCATGGTTATAATTTTTTATAGGACTTATTTTTTTCTTACTAGCTTGTCCTAACTTTAAACCATTTTCATTAGAAATATTATTTACACTATTTAAATTCAAACTCTCATAGTAATTCTGACTTTGTAGAGAATAATTCGAATCATTTGATTGATTGCAGTGAAGATTTGAATCTTCGTCATGTGTGTGCTTTTTACTTAATAAATCTGATATATTGTTAGTTACTAACTGACAATTATTGATACTTGTATTATCTGGAGTACTTAAAGAAGTAAAAATTGTTTGAGATTGGGAAGAATGATTCGAATGGTTGTCGAAACCTTCAGAATTGTTCGGTGAGCAATCAAAGCTTAAGCTAGGTTCATGTTTGATACGTTTATGTTTTTTCGTAGGTGCTTCAGAACTTTTTTTATTAAGTTTATTATTAACTGGAAATTGGTGACAGCTCTTAGGTGGTTTACTCGGTAAATCGGAAACAGATGGTGGTGGTGATTGTTCACCAACGGCTGGTGGTGAATTCAAATTACTTATCAAGTGTGAAATTGCGTCTTCTAATTGCGTTGGATCTTCGACACTTGGCGATAATTGTGATTGAATAACTGTTTCATCTGTTAATGCATTCGATGGCGAAACAGTTGCTGAAAATCTGTTTTTTAGTTCTTTTATTAAATTTTCACCTTCTTCTTTTTCCACAAGCGTGTTAATGCACACAAATGACTCAAAAGTTCCTGTTTCTTGATGAAATTCGAGGAATCCATGAGTCCTGAGATAGATGAATTCACCCCTCTTAGAAAGTAATCGATAACACGATGTTCCAAACTTTTCCCTCCTATCGTACACTGGTAATAATAAATGAAAATATTATTTCGTTATCTTTTATTAATTATAAGAATGATTGTCTTTTAAAATTTCAATATTTGTAAAGTTTGATTGCTAAGTAACAAAAAGATGATGAAGAATAAATTTAACTAATTTAAATTAAAAGAAATCTATTCGAAAATACTTTTTCCATCAATTCATAATCGTAAAATAAATGAATATGAAAAAGTATTTTTTTTTACATAAAAAAATACTTACTTTGTCGTAGTGCCATGATAGCCCACATCACATCCTCTTTATGCATATAACTAAAAGCATTAGCTCCAGCAACCTCTTCTGACATATACCCAGCAACAAAAGCTATTCGATGATCGCTATAAATGATACGTCCATCCACCAAGTGACGTGTTTTGTATTCTAGTTTGTTAGCTTCATATAATGACAATTCAGTGATACGTTTCTGTACTACTCTTGCTACACCAGCGAAAATGATATCATTATTCGTTGGATTATGTTGATCTAAAAAAGAATTTTTCAAATAAGATAGTATTCATTTATTTAATGTATTCTCTGAAACAAATTAAATATTAATTCACTCACCTAAATTCTTTTTTTTCTTGATAAAATCTGCTAGCCTCAGGATACCAGAAATTTGAAAACATTTAAATTGAGTATGCTCTCCTCTAGAATTTGTACGTTGGGCGATTTTAATATAAAAATTACGTCGTTGTTCTTTAAAATTCTTTCCCTTTGGTAAATGGTTTCTCAATCCGTCTGACGAATTGGAATCTTGATCGTAAGTTAATTCCTTCATCGAAAAAGATTCATCAGGTGTCAAGGCTTTAGCAAGTTCACCATGATCCTCGGGATGGATGTAAGAGTACAAGGACTTTCCCATCATTTCATTCTGAAATTTTAATACTGAATATTTATTACCATTCAACTAATTTAAAAAAAAAAACTTTATGAGCAATATTTTTTATGTTTTCAGCTTTTTCGTGAATACTTTTATTAGCCTCACTTGAGTGAAATGATAAAAAGAAAAGATGATATAAAAAAGAACTGAAGCTGCATCGTTTGTTTATATTAGTACAGTATCATTTCTTTTTGCTACCATTTTGTCGTTTTCTCCGCGGGATGTCTGTAAGTTCTTTTATACAATAGTCGTCTGATTGTAGATACTCGGGAGACATCGAGCTTTTTATACTTCTTTAGATGATAACACACCCACTTGGATACTTGAGTCAAGAAAGAAAACTGCTTGAAGTTGACGATTACACCTCGTTAAGTACAAATATCAAATTATCTTTATACTTAGTTGCACAGATAAATACATTAAGCTGCCTAATAAATTTACGGCGCACTCAAATATGTATTTGTTTTTCTTCTATTTCCAATTAGCTATCACATCATAGAGTTTCCTATTTAAAAGAAAAACAACTTGCTATTCGGTCAACTCCAATTAATTATTTAACTTTTAATAACATTATTTATTATATTGAATTTAATGTATATATATTTTATTTCTTTACATGAAATGTGAAAAATTCTATTACTTTCTTTTTAACAAGTAATATTAAAAAATTTTATGAATTGATTTTTTCCATTATATTTCGGACGAATGAGAACACGTGTCACTATTAGAAAATTCCCCAAAGATCTACACGTGCGAGTTAAAACTACTGTGGTACAATATAAAAAAGATGACCTAGATTTTTATGGAGTATATTACTCAATGCATTTTAACGAATTTGTATATGAATAATTTCATGGCTTTTTACAAATTAGTTTATCATGAAAATATACTTTTATTCATAAAAAGTTTAGAATCTCATTTAATTAGAATAATTAAAAATCTTTTAATTACTAAAAAATTTCAACTCCATTATGTGAATATACATTTTCGATTCTTAAATAATAGAAAACTAAGCTTTCATTGTGATTTGTAATCAGATTATAATAAATAAATAGAAAAAAAATGTATATAATCAATAGTAACAACAACAAAAATAGGTAATTATATGGTATTACTCCGTCACATTCGATTCCTTTGAAAATAAAGTATTTTATATTTTTGATGATGCTGATCAAGAATGTATACGTATATAAGGTGTGGAAACCAAAAATAATTTTTTTAATATAAAACAATTTAATTTATTATGACAAAAATCATCAATTCTGATTGGATTCATTTAATGAAGACAGAGGTAAATAAGGGCGTGGGAGGAGAGGAGGTGTCTATAATGTAGACCATTGATGAGAAAATAAATCCAAAATAAAAGCAAAAAGACCTTGCAGAGAATTTCGTTTTTTTTGTTAATATTGCTCCAAATTATAGTACCCCTCCCCTCGCTCGCACTTCATTACTCCTATATATATTCGTTCACGTATTTTTTGAATAGTGTAAATGTACTTCATATAATAAATTCCATTAATCACCTGTGAAACAACTCATGTTCCGATGAAATTTAATTAAAAATGAAATCATGATTTTCAAAACTTCGACATTAAAAACCTATGTTAAAAATTGATTTCCACGATCAACATGTACATATATTCTTACTCAATTACTTAAAAATGTAAGGTAATATAGTTTATAGTTACTATGGAATTAATCTCTGTCAGGCTTGTATTCCAGAAAAATGAATACACACGTATATTTAGAATTTTTAAATTTTTTCGCACTTGGCGAGCTAAAAATGGCAGAATTAATAAATAGAAAAATTTCTTGTGACTAATATTTATATCTTCTTAATTGAAAATCATGTATTGAACAATTAATCCAATCATGATCAATATCATTTAATAAATTCAATAAAAAACAAACTTTCATTTATAGATTAATTAATTTAATAAAAAAAGTATTATATTTTTACCGGTGTATATCCTAAAGGGCCTTCGACTCTTGGACTTATATAGACGATGCTTCCCGATATTGTGACAACGAAAAAAAAGCCACCATTTCCATCGAAGCTCTGAAAATACATTATAAAATATATAATCCAGTTTTAATCATTTTTCACACTACAAAAATAAACTAAGCAGCTTATCTAACTAGAGTTAAAAAATTATTCTCTTTAAGTTAATTAGTTATAACTTCTTATTATTCTCCTCAAATACATGTTTCATTCGAAATGTATTCTATCTCCAAGATTGAAATATTACTTCTACTATAATGGCAGATAATATCCACAATAAAACGTAGATTCATTTCAAACAAACAACAGGAAACACACGAAAATAAAATTACTATTGATTTATTGAATTAATACCAAACAAACAAACTGAGTTTTGGAGAGGCAAAAATGGATAATATTAATAAATAACTATATATAAATTTATTTGTATGTAATGCTGATTAAAGATTCTTTTTTAATGAATAAATTCTTTTGTTTGTCATAATATAAATAAGATGCTTAGTCGTCAATAAAACAATTTTATAATCAATAATACTACCTAAGAAGTTATACTTACATCGATAAAATTTTCCTCAAGACTGATATCGTTGAATTCTGCTGGTAAAAATCCAGGTGAGCCAGGGCCAATTGCTAGAAAAATTTTTAAACCAATTATAGTTACATCAATTATAAAACAGTCATTTAAAAAATTTAAAATAAAAAACTAAAAAAAATGAAAAATACTTCGAGAAATAAAGTACTTTCATATTTTGGAGAAGTAATATATCAATAAATAAATGGTCTGCTACTTGTTCTAAATAATGAAGATCAATATTAAAGAAGGGTGACTAAATGTAGAATTTTTGTGTATTGTGGTGATATGTTATATTAACTATAATATATTAAACTATTTTTTATTTAGTTACTTCCCTGTATTAAATAAAATGAAAATAACATAATAGATTTAGAATAATATTTTTTGTATTAAAAAACTTACTTAAGTTAGATCTCAGGTACGCTGCAGTTAATCTGAGAATAGAAATTTTATCATATCGTTTAGAACTTGATGCTATGCTTGGAACTAAAGATGCCATTAAACTAATATTCGTATTAAGATTGTCCCTCCTTTGTTTTTCTGCCAAATTCCGGGATGCTCGAGAACTGCTGTAAACCAAAGAGAAAAATATTTAAAATTAAATGAAAAAATTCAACAATAAAACATAAATATTGAATTAACTAAATGAATTTCATTTTATTTAATTATTTATTTAATTCAATCAATAAAAATAAAATTAAAATACAACAATATTGTAAAATAGTATTGATTTGATTGATGAAACTTATGAAAGCTTCAGAATAATCAAGATAGATTATTTGATTGTAAATATACAACAGAGAATCTCAAATTGTGTAATAGATTCAATACAATATTTATTTTTCGTCAGATATTTAATAGAATTTTAATACAATTATTTGATCGATAACATTGTTCTTGTTACAGTATTACTTATAAATTGTAATGGTAACTTTAAACCCATATTTCAAATCATATATCAAAACAAAGTAGGTCGTATTAAACTGAATGATAGTACACAGTTTCATAAATTAAAATCTTCTAATGATTTAGGATCAATTGAATTTATCATATTCTATTTGTTTATAAATTTTCATTGATTGTACATTGATGTACTTTTAGATACTAAGTTCTATTATTAAATAAGAATATTGGATTATAATAATCCAATTAATGAATCGATCAACCGATTATCTTTGAAATAAGTCACAAGTATTGGGTAATGATTAAATTGCAAGTTATTACAGAATAATAATGGAATAAATAGTTGTGTAGGTAAAATATCTTATGGTCATGTAAATGTCGTGTAAATGAAAATCTAAAGAATGTTCAAGTGATGTTAAATATTCTTTCACAAGTTTGAATCAGATCCAAACATAACGAGTAAGATAAATTCATCCACAACTACGTCTTTTAGAAATGCTAATTCACTCAATTGCAGAATTATTTGAAAAACTCATTAAATTATTCTGAGTTTAAAAATCAATAGTAAATTTTCACGTTTATTTTACTACTGAATTTTATTTTATAATTTGCAATTTAAGATCATTAGTTACATTATTTTATTCATAAATTGTTGAATAATTGTACTACAGAAGACTATGATTTTTTATTGTTTAAAATTTAAACGTAGTAAATTTTAGAAAATGTATAAAAGAATTCATAGTGTATACTATTTTGAATAAAAATTATTGAGAAATTTACATGATCAAAGTTGGCACGTTTGATGAACAGTCTCATGTCTATGCAACTAATTAATTGGAATTATGTCGTCGTTAGTAAATGATGCCAATTGGTAACAATATATTACAACTTAATGCGAAGAAAGTAAAAATAAATATTAAGCAAATAAATTCCGAGATTCAATTGTTATACTACTAAATTTATAATATTATTTAATAGTATTTAACGAATTTTTTATTGCATAAATAATCAAGAAGCATGATGACTTGTGTAATGATTGTAAAAAAAAAAAATTAAAAGATATTTTTAAACTCTTATGAGTATTTTTTGACATCATAAATAAAATTTGAAATGAAAATAGAGTTGGTCACGTCAGTATGTAAAAGAAGCAACAGCAAAATATGTAAGTATTTAAGACTAAATTTATTTAGCTTTATTTTGTTTAATCAATAAATATTTAAACAAACAGTTTTGTATTTTCCTTGGATGTTTTAGTGATGTCTTAGGTGTGATTTCACAACGAACATTTTCGAGAATCGTGCGTAAAAGTTGGATAGGTCGTGGCTTGGAATTTCTCGACCGTGATATGTCATAGTCTACTCAGGACGATGATAAACACGGAACGAGGCTATTTTTAATGTTGTCAGTTGGTGTTAGTATTTATTTTAATTTACTTATCACTGAATTATAATAGATTCGTTTTCCTCAATTATTTATTCTTGAACTTCTTTTTGTTTTCGTTATAGTATTCACATAAATCATTTTCTTCAAATTTAATATCAGCATTCTCGCTGAATGTAAAAGAGAAAAAATATATTTATGTAGAAAACTACGGTACTTAATAATCTTTAAAAAAAAGATAATTAAAGAATTTTTAGAGTATTGTTGGAATTTTTTCATAGCTAAAATTCTCTTTTTCCTGGTGAATCTATTGTTGAGAGTATATAATGAAAAATTTATTAAAATGGTAGAAAATTCGAAATTTTATTAAATTTTACAATTCATTTAAATATAAATCTACAAACAATAAACAAATTATTAAAAAAATTTACTCACTGTCAAGTAGTAAATTATTATAATATATTTAAAGATTTATTTTAAAATGTAATTATTAAAAATTTATTGTCACCATCTTGTTTCTCTAACGCCAGAAATGTCTAGTTTTTAGTAGAATCATTATGAATTACCAATTATAAAGTTCTGTGATGTGTATAAATAAATTGTTTTTTCTTGTAATAATTTATTTAAACATCATTATCTATTGATTGTAATTGATAATGATAATAGTAAAATAAGGATAAAATTTTCATGAAAAAAATACTCAACGTCGGTTGTAATCCCTAGTGATTTGAAATCACAACTGTGCAAATTTTCAGACTGTATTCAAGTCGTGTGCAGTGAACTTGGCATTAAGGGATCGATAGTGAAGTCAGACATATGGATTGCAGGACGTAGCGAGACAGTGCAGACGAGAGAGGGATCGTATGGCGGTTTTGCAATTTCATTGCAGCATGGTTCAAGGTCAAGATCACAATCCATTGCATGCTTCAATGCACCAATTTAGTATATAATATTCCTAAGAAACTATCAAGAAATCATTATATCAATGAATCCTATTATAAAATTGATTCATAAATTGTTTATAAGCACATACATGTATGAATAATATAATATTTTATAAAGATAACTTTTCATTTCTTAATAAAAAAGGATAATTATAATAGTAGAAGCAAAAGTAAATTATCACTTCAAAAGTGTAATTATAATAAATTCAATTGGCTGATTTAATTTATGTAGACATTGCTATGAATTAATAATAAAATACGTAATAAAATTTGAAGTGAACTCTAGGTTGTGTATGTATGATTCATTACGTAATTACATTCTATATATGCAAATAGTTATTTTTTTCTTTACTTACAAGTATATTTACATTATTCATAATTAATAGAATGGAGAAAAAAACATTGCAATGATTACAATGTTTTTCATTGAAAACATCTTACTCATCGATATAAAAAAAAAATTTTTAATTTTTTATAGTAATTAAATATTGACATTTATTTAGTAATATAATATTCCCCATTTTCTTTGTAATAACTACTACTGTTTTTATCACATTGTTTCTATATATTTTATATATATATATATATGTATTCATGACACTCTAAGTAGAAGCAGACAGCCAGACAGTGATAAAATAGTTGAGATTGAAAACCGCTGAGTTGCTTTAGCTTTCTTACAAAAAGAAATATTATGAAATTAATACGTCGGTGTTATTGAAAATGTCTATCAGAAGGTGAGAAAGTACGACAAATAAAATTCGATATCGTTAATTATTATCAGTTCAAGATTATATTTTATTCAAAATATTAAATGAGAAGTAATTTGTGCAAATATTATTTTTTATCAATTTTTTAAAATAAGTCAACTGAATAACACTTTTTTAGCAATATTGATTTTTATTAATAATTTAATGACTTTAAAATACCCTACTTATATAATGCTGCAGGATTTTAAGTAGAAACAGACAGTCTAGTGGAGACATAATCTTCTAGTACATATTGAGTACCACTGAATTGCATTTATAATCCTACTGCATCGGATAAAAAAAAATTGCAGCTTATTTTTTTACAATTAAATGTAAAGAATTTTTCTAAAGCTTATAGCTAGTGTATTGAATGAGAAAAAGCATTACTCGAAAATCCTAAAGCATTATCAGGAGGTAAAAAACACCTTGCAATAAAATGACAAGGATTGGGAACCCCTGAACTGCATTTGGGCGTCGACCGCGTCCTGCCTCACTACGAGTCTGCGTGAGCCTTCCAAATTCAACAAGAGCTCGGTTAACAGTCTCACAGTGTACTAGAGTGCCCCTTCACCTCCTTCACAATCCGCCCCTCAACGCCAGACATGTACTGAAAACTCCCCTTCTGCATTTTTGCTTTACTTGCATACCCCAGCAATACACCAGTCACGACTCATCCTTATGTTTTTTTTTTCCTTCTTTTTTTATCATATCATTTTGTTGCCTGTAAAATCTCTCACAGGATGCACAGGACAGTGAAAGGACTTTCTTTCTGCCTTATTCAGCTGTTTGCAACAGGGAGAATAAAGGGGTTGTTGCAAGGTCACCTTTACCATTACATGCTGTTGCTACGGAGAATCAAATGCATTAAAAGACTGAATTGACGAGAAAGACAAAAAAATTAATTCATTTAATTGAAATTTATCAATAAATGTAATTGATAGTATTGAAACAGTGTGTTCATTCAATTTGTATTTTTATAAATTGATTAGAATATAATAAATTTATTTTTTTGATTTATTAGTGAATATTTTTTCGACAATTACTTTAATTTTATTTTTCCTAAACTTCATTCTTTTTTTTTTATAATTTACAAACTTTGAGGATAAATTTTATCAACTATACAATCAAGAGTGACTGGAATCGATTTTTTGTTGTTAATTAAAAATTCATCAATAGCTATTTTATCCAAAACTTTTTTAATCCTTCGATTATTCTATTTTGTTACTATTTCTTCAATCATTTTATTGACCTCGAATTCAAAGGATATTGTAATACTCCAAGAATATTCTCAATACCATGGCATTGGTGAATAAATTTTTTTCAATACAAACAAATAAAAGCACCTTGAAGGAAATTATTAACTCTTTTTCAAAATATTTATTTTATCCTTGAACTTTATTTTACAATTTTAATTAAAAAAGTTTATTTCAACAAATTCAATTGTAAAGTAAATGATTTTTTTGCAAAACAAATAAATATATGATATATATATATATACATTTAAATCAACAAACTTGACTTGATGAAATATATTTCTAAAAGGATTGATTATTAGTGGAAAATGACTTCTTTGTCTCAACAAGTAATTATTTGGAA